ACCGCTATGAAGACCGCTATGACAGACGGGACGATCGGCCCTGGGGCTCCAGAGACGATTACTCCCGGGACGATTACAGGCGTGATGACAGAGGTACTCATTGTCTCTGGCTTACTTGATGTAGTCGACACAGGAAAAACTTAGGAAAAATTTGAACATTGGCAGAGGACAACTTAATGGAAATAAAGTCAAGTCTAGTCCTTTTCATGTTGAATGACTTTATACCTAAATTTTTTCAGATAAAATCTACCAAGTAAATAGAAAAGGAAAAATTTTTGTAAGACCTTTTATTTAGAGTGTGTTAAACCCATTTTTGAAGTGAAGAATTGAAATTCACATAAACAGTCCCATAGCAAGTAATCAGTGCTTTGAGGTTAATAATGAAGTATTGCTGATTTAGGTTCCATTGTACTACAGTAATTGATGTTTGTCAGTTCATGGTAAGAGTTTAGTATGTTTATTCTAATATGTCTGAGGGGCTGGGAATTTAGCTCAGTGGTTCCACTGCCTGCCTCGCAAGTGCAAGGACCCAAGTTTGATCCCCGGTACCAAAAAAAAAACCAAAAAATAAAATTATTTCTGTAATGGTAGAACTTAAAACATGCTGTTAAGTTTGAATATCAGAAATTATTAATGAGTAGCCACCATTTATGTTCTAACTTTAGTGATGCAATCAAGAAAAGTTAGGGTCTGGCCCAGAATTCTTTGTCTTGAATTATTTGACATCTTGTATTGGTCTTGAGCTTTGTGTCAGGGACTTTATATCTACAGTACTATCTTTTGTAATTCTCTGAGAAAGGAAGATAAAACTTCAACAACTAATTTTTTTTTTAAGTGTGGTAAAAAAATCCATCAGAGCTGTATGGAAATTCTACTGTATTAAAGACTTTCCTCCTCAAATAGAATAGAAATTTCAGTATTTCTGGTTTTCTAATACCTTTTTTTTTTTCTGGTATTAGGAATTGAACTCGGCCTTGCACTTGCCAGGCAAGTGCCGCACTGCAACGCAGTGTGCCACTGAGCTACATCCCTAGCCCTACCTTTTGTTCATTTTTCTTTTTCTTCTTCTTTTTTTTTTTTGGTACCAGAGATTGAACTCAGGACCCTGCACTTGGAAGGCAGGCACAGTGCCACTGAGCCCAATCCCTGGCTTTACCTTTCATTCTTTTTTTTTTTTTTACCTTTCATTCTTAAAAGCGTGACTTACCTATTTCTTCAGTAAAGACAACAACAGAAAAATTGGTTTATTGAGCATTTACTACTCTGTACAGGCAATAAGCTGAGTTCTTGTACAAATACTGTATAATATTAAAAATTTTATAATTGTTCATTCAGTCACTGCTGCTACCTTTGTTTGGGCCTTACGGCAGCTGCCTCCTAATGCTTTTCCTGCCCCCAGTTGTGTTGGTTTGTTTTTTGTTTTTTTTTTTGGTACCAGAGATTGAACTCAGGACCTTGCACTTGCCAGGCAGGCTTGGCACCACTGAGCTAAATCCCTGGCAAGTTGTCTTTCTGGAATAAGATCTAATGAAATTGTTCCCCACCTTTTAGACCTTCTTAGTGTCCCCTGTCCTAAAAGGTCTCCTTTTGCCTGTCACACACTGGGGTCTTCACTCTTTGTTTACAGTTTACTTCACCATCCTCTTCTATATCTACCCTTCTGCGTGTACACTCAACTCTCAGAACTGCTCAAGTGTTACTGCTTGGAAGCCTTCACACCTTCACTGAACACAGTCCTAGTCGTGTATCTTTCATATGAATAAATCTGTTTTGTACAACCTAGCTTAAGCAATCTTTACTGGACTGTCCCACCAAATTGGGCTTGTTTTTGTTGTTGCTGTTTTTTGAGATGTGGTCTCGCTGTGTAGTTTAGTTCAAGCTAGCCTTGAACTCAACTGTGTAGCCCAAGCTGGCCTCAAACTTATGGCGAGTCTCCTGCCTCAGCCTTCTAAGTGCTGGGATTACAAGCATGCTCCACTATGCCTGTTGAGACTAGATTCTTGAGCAAAATAATTTTGTTCAGTAATTTATCATAGTTGAAAATTTTTTCCCAAGTAAAAGTAATTGTGATAAAATGATTAATTTACCACTTAAGTGATTATCATTTTTAGTCTTTCTCGACAGTCTGGTTCTGTACTGTGGTTGTGGTAGAAAAGGAAGGAATAACGGAGCTTGATTATTTAAGCTACCCATTTTCTAAGAATCTCCTCTACCTTCTCTGGTGGATCGGATAACCTGAATCCCATGTAGCATTTCCTAAGCACCATGTCTGGAAATAATCAGGCTTTCACCCATCAGCTTCTGATGATTTAGAAAACTATTACTTAGAGTTTCATTTAACTTAGGTCCCCCCCAAAGACCCAAACTGAACCTAAAGCCTCGGAGTACTCCTAAGGAAGATGATTCCTCTGCTAGCACCTCCCAGTCCAGTCGAGCAGCTTCTATCTTTGGAGGGGCAAAGCCTGTTGACACAGCGGCTAGAGAAAGAGAAGTGGAGGAACGGCTACAGAAGGAGCAGGAGAAATTGCAGCGTCAGCTGGATGAGCCAAAACTAGAACGACGGCCTCGGGAGAGGTAAGGTTATTTCATCTGTGGATTGTCTATCTGCAGTTTCAGTGTGTTTAGTGGGGGCATTTGGGAGCTTTGTGTGAGACAGTTTCACACAACAGAATTTTATCTCTGACTTGCAATTTTCAAAAGGCCTACTGTGCTATATCTGTCACCACTATAATTAATACAAAAGTGAGCAAATTAGGGTCTGTGCATGTTTTTGTTAATAAAATTCAGCCCTTCAAGAAGAATTTGCTAGCTCTTAGCTGTAGTATAGAGAAAAGGACCCTACTGTGGTGAGATGAATGGAATCAAACTTGTTGCATCAGTTATTTAACAAAATTAATTTAAAACTACATTTATTTCTTTTCATATTACTGGGGTAAAATAGAAAACGTTTTATGTTATATGTAGGCTAAGAAATTATTTTGTACTTGTTTACCTGTGTATATGCTCATTGTATTATCTAAGTGTTAGTTCAGTGTAGAAGTGTGATAAAATATTCATGTGATGGTTTTTAGGGGATCATCATCATACTGAAGTATCCTTCATTGAGCAGAACACAATTTACTTATTGTTAAGTCTCTTTCTGTGCAGACACCCAAGCTGGCGAAGTGAAGAAACTCAGGAACGGGAAAGGTCAAGGACAGGAAGTGAATCATCACAGACTGGGACCTCAGCCCCATCTGGCAGAAGTAAGTCAGACCAGGGTGGGTATCATATTGCTGTTTTCTATAATAAGCAAAGAATTCAGAGACCTTACAGTATTTCTCAATTATAAACTCTTGAGTTAGTATGAATTGATCTGAGTTTTCAATCATTTATTCCAAAAGTGTCTGAGGAATGGGTACCCAAGTAGACTTAGATGATCTGTTTACTCCAGTAAAGAGTGTACTTGACTGTTAATTTTTTCCCTTCATTTTATGTCTTATTTATTCAGCGGTTAGAAGTAGGCCTGGAGTCTGAGCTATTCCCAGGGCAAGGCTTTTTTGATGTTGTAAATGACTAGAGCAGTGTTCTCAAGTGATGTTACTCTAGTCTGCATTGTTTCTCACTGATTACTGATTGCTTACAAGCACTTCTAGGGTTTTGAAAACCTTAATGTTTTCAGCTATAGTATCTCACTTAGGTTACTGTGATCCAGTGTTTTTTAAGAGCTCTTCCTCCCACCTTTAAATGATTGGTACTTGAACATTTCAAAATAGGAATCAAGAGCCAGGGATTTAGCTCAGTGGTTCCGCCGTCTGCCTTCCAAAGTCCCAAGTTCGATCCCCAGTACCGAGAGGGCAGGTCGGTTTCAAGGCCAGAGTGATTTGGAAATCCATCCAAGTGTTGCAGGAGTTTTCTAGAAATAATTCATACCAGAGTAGTCTCAGTAACAGGCTATAATGCCCCTTTTTGTAGTTGGGTTGATTTTAATGCCTACTTTTGTAGAGCTTCCACTTAAAATGTAGGGAGATTCTGGGCTGGGGATTTAGCTCAGTGGTTCCACCTCCTGCCTCACAAGCGCAAGGACTCGAGTTCGATCTCCGGTAGCAAAAAAAAAAAAATGTAGGAAGATTCTGATAGATAATAGGCTTCTCTTTTCTTTTTCTTTTTCTTCCTTTTTTATGGTACCGGGAATCAAACTCAGGCTTCTCATTTTAAGGAAACACTTACTGCCCTTTAAACTACACACACACCCCTGTATGTTTTTGTTATTGTGTAAGTGTGGTTGTATCACATGTGTGTTGAGCTGGGTTGAAATTGAACATGGTTACTGGAGTTTGGGGTTTCACCATAGGACTCTTCCCACATGCGTGCATACCATTTTCCAGGTAAGGACATTGGCAATATAGATAGGAAGGCTGTAATTCTAAAATAAGAATACTCATTCTTTTCTAGGACAAACCAGATAGTTATCCTTTAAGATATACACTCAACTTATTGTTTTTTGTATTTTTTTGTGTGCTAATGAAGCATTTTTCTCAAAATAACACGTGGAAAACACTGGGTTAGTGATAATTCATTCTGTTGGGAGCCAAAGTAGGGTCTCCATTTAAAAATAATGATAGGGCTTGGGGATTTAGCTCAGTAGTTTCGCTGTCTGCTGCGCAAGTGCAAGGACCCGAGTTCGAGCCCTGGTACCAAAAAATGAAAAATAAAATAATTATAATCCAGGCATGGTGGCACATGCCTGTAATCCCAGGATGAGGAAGGCTGAGGCAGGAGGATTGCTTTAAGTTCAAGGCTACATAGTAAATTTAACACCAGCCTGAACTAAGTAGGGAGACCTTGTCTCAAAAAACAACCAAACAAAAAATAAAAATAATGAGAGAGCCAGGCATGGTGGTGCACACCTATAATCCCAGCACTCAGGAGACTGGGCCAAGAGGATCACTGCAAGTTCAAGGCTGCCGTGGACTGCTTAGTGAGTTGTAACACCAGTCTGAACTAAATGGGGAGAGCCTGTCTGAAAACAAGAATTTTCCACTCCTTTATGATCTGATAGATTATCATGTTATAATGTCTTTGTTTTTTCCCCCTGATAATTTCACCTTCCCATTCTGACTTCACAGATGCCCGAAGGAGAGAGAGTGAGAAGTCTCTAGAAAATGAAACACTCAATAAGGAGGAAGACTGTCACTCTCCAACTTCTAAGCCTCCCAAACCTGATCAGACTCTAAAGGTAATCCCAGCCCCTCCACCAAAGGAGAATGCATGGGAGAAGCGAAGTTCTAACCCTCCTGCTCGATCTCAGAGCTCAGACACAGAGCAGCAATCCCCTACAAGGTGAGTCGGCTTGGAACAGCAGCTTGTTAGCTCAGAAATATAGATCTCATGTTAGGATGGAAAGCGCCCTGTGGGATGTTGACTTTATACAGCGTGTTATTATAGTTACCTATATTCTTAGTTTACATTCAGTGCTATACTAGAGCTGGTTCATTTAGAGGCAGTCATCAGTTTTCTAGAATTTTGATAGCCAGTTGACATCACTGGTGGATTCAAATTGGCTATTGTGAGAGTATTTGTGCCACCAGAATCTGCAATAAGTCTTCTCTCCAGCATCCATTGGCAGTGGAGGTCACTTCATTTCTCTTAAGTCTCAGATCTCTAAGTCTTCTCTTATTTATAAAAGGATACTGCTATTTAACTTGCACAGTTATGGTGATTGTAAAAATATATGGCACTTGCAAGTGTACAAATTGCTGCTTTTATTACCGTCTTATATTTTAATATTCCAGAACATTAAATATGGGGTTTCGTGTTTGTTTTCTGTAATGCTTACTGCAATTGGTGAATGATTATAAGTTTCTTACCTGTTTTCTCTCTGAAACAACTGATGAATATTTTCTTTCTAGTGGTGGGGGGAAAGTAGTTCCAGCTCAGCCTTCTGAGGAAGGACTGGCAAGGAAAGGTAAGACCATGCTAAGGGAAGTAAGTTTTCATCTAGTTAGGAGGTCTAAATGAAAAGATAGGACCGGGGCCAGGGGTTTATCTCAGTGGTTCCGCCACCTGCCTTGTAAGCCCAAGGTCCCAAGTTTGATCCTCTGTACCAAAAACTAAAATAGTTAACTGGAATCTAAAATTTCTCTTTCCTGCAGTGCTGCAGTTGAACCCAGGACCTTGTCATGATGTAGGAAAGGGTTCTTCCCAACAATTAAGAAATCTAGTGGGCAGGGGATTTAGCTCAGTGCTGCCACATCTGCCTCATAAGCACAAGGTCCTGAGTTTGATCCCTGGTACTGCAAAAAAAAAAAAAAAATCTAATCAATCCTTATATCTTGCACCTGATTTTGTTTTGACCATGCTTTGATTATCTACCTTTTTCTGCCAGTAGAGGGCAGGAGTGGCCTCTTTGGAGAAAGTATGGAATTACTGCCCTATCCTAATAGAGCAAATTTGGAAGGAAATTAGCATGTTCTGTCAAAATTAGAAATGTCACCATCAGTATACCAAAGTTACTATCGAACATCATAGTCCTTATTTCCAGTCTGCTTTTTAAGATAACAATCCTCCAGGGGAACTTTTTATGGGACCTTTTTGGTTTAAGGGTGCTGTGTGATATAGAGGATATGGGAAGAGGGGCTTTGGAGGAAAGTTGCATTGGTGTGAGTCTTAATTTCTGTCAACATGTGTGGGCCCAGTATTGTTTAGCTTAAAGCAAATCTGAAACATAAAGATTGATCATTTTATTTGCCTTTGATTTCTTTTTGCATTTCTGCTCAAACAGATGAAAATAAAATAGATGGGATGAGTGTCCAAAAAGGCCAAACTGGGAACTCCAGCCGTGGTCCAGGAGATGGAGGGAACAAAGACCATTGGAAGGAGTCAGATAGGTATGTATGGATTCTTTATTTGTAAGTCTTTTAGCTAATGTTAGATGCATGGTTCTTTGTAATTACGAATTTTTTTGGTTCTCTAAGCACCACCAAATCTTTTACTGTAAGCAAACTGAAGTCAACCAATACAGAGAGTTATATTGGAGAATCTGGAAATAATGCAATGGCTGGAGAGCAGAGACTTTTGACTGGAGGGGATGTTCCTGTCCAGTGCCTCAAAAGTGCACCTGGGCCTGTGTAAATTGGAGGAGCCCTCCAGTGATGCAGTTTTACATTTTTAAATCTCCAGGAAAGATGGCAAAAAGGATCAAGACTCTAGATCTGCACCTGAGCCAAAGAAACCTGAGGAAAATCCATCCTCTGTGAGTGTTAAAGGCTTACTTACCCTCAACTTCTCTTGTTCACTTTTGCTCTTGGACTCCCCTTCACATTTGGGACTGCAGAGTGGCTGGAAATAAAGTGTAGATGTTTCTTCAAACCAGTGAAGGAAGTTTAGGTAGGGTTTTTTTCCCAATGCCACCTTTCTTCACTCTTACTCCTCCTGCAAGGTAAGAAGTACCATATGGCTGACCCTCTCCGTGGCTGCTCTGGAAGACGCTGTGAGCAAGCACATGGGCATAGTCTGAACTGTCGTCCCTCTTCTGCCAAAGTTTTGACATCCTTTGTTTTGGTTTTTTGAGGCAAGGTCTGGCTATGTAGTCCAGGCTGGCCTCAAACTCTGACCATTCCTCCCAGGTGCTGGGATCACAGGCGTGCACCACCACACCCAGCTATTTCATGATTTTTGACATGAGAATTCAGAGGCTTTATTATCTTGTCACTCTCATCTTTCATAGAAGTTCAGTTCTGCAAGCAAGTATGCTGCTCTCTCCGTGGATGGTGAAGATGAAAATGAAGGAGATTAGACCTCAACATCCTGTGTTTTCTCCTAGTCTTTCTCCACCCTGGGAACATTCGAGAGCAAATCAAACCTCTATCCAGACAAGGCAAAATAAAA